TTTTAAAGATCGATAGGTAAGGGTTTTATATTCTACGACTGAGGGTAGACTGTTTTCAAAGATAGATAGGTAAGGGTTTTGTATTTTACTACGATGAGTAGATGATTCTAAGGATAGATGGCTAAAGGTTTTGTGTTCTTCGACGGGAGAAGAATTATTGTGTACGTGATGATTTTTCACCATTTTAGAAAACCGTAGACATATCAAATTCTTGGATAATCTTGTACAAAACAAGTCTTGTTTAAACTGTTGAATTTCCTTACTTGAATTCAATAAAACGTTATAATACACGTACACCAAAATTGCTCAATGACGTTTTTCACAAGCCAAAACCTGTCTCACAATTCATGAAAACGTATCGACTTGGTCCATTTAATCAGAAACTCACAAAAAAATGCTTTAAATAATTATATAATTAGTTAAAAATAACTGCTAAGAGTCATAAATACTTAAGTCCACATACGGTAAAACAAAACTGTGGTATAATTAACTATTGCACTTTAAAATTTTCTTTAATGAATACTTCAAGAATTTATGTGTATTGCATAAGTTTGTGCAAGATTTATGAGCAAATAGATACATCAAAAAAAGAATTTTTGGAAAATAATAAAGAGAAATAGCCTGTTCAGCGGTTTATTAACGTACGCTATATTGAAAAAAAGGTTTCTGAAATGTACACTCCACTATAAATAATTCTATGTTCCTGTAGCGAAAATTTATTACTCTACTATCATAAGCAGATTGTTTTATGTTGACATCAACGGGCATTATTATTCTACGAATAAAAATAGAATCCGACACACTATATTCAGGATGATTTATCTTATTACGTCCACATGGGAAGAGTTTATCACTTCGAAACCTAAGATTAATTCAACTACATTTTCACTAAAAGGGTTGATTCTTGTACAATCAAAATTTACTTATTGAAAGATCAGGCGAGAAGATTTTCACGACTTTCAGGTTCACGGTATATAATTCTACATATAAACGAGAAAGGTTTGTTACTCTTCGAATAAATGTTGACAGTTCTACGATATCACCATAGACTATTCTATATCTATGAAAGAATAGTTGATCATTCTTCAGAGAAAGATTAATTATTTAATTATCACAAGAGAAGGATTAATCATTCTACAATATCATGGTAAAACAGTATGTCTGGAAGTTGTTAATCAAATCGTTAAAAAGGACGATTTTATTTTCCAGATCGTATCGATAAAGTTTATGAGTGTATACTAAAACTAAACTACTTAATAGTTACTATATATCACATCGAACGTTTCTTCATAGATCTTTACAATAATATAATTTCAGTATCGTATAGATTTTTTAATTTATCTTTCAATTTGAAGTCATTTCAATAAGAGATAGATTACATAGTGATAGAATCATCTTGATGTCATGGACTGATGACTCCATCTATTACACATTTCTAAGATTAGTAGATCAACAAACTTATAAAGTCAAGCTATTTATGTGATGGCGATAGTAAGCGAATGAAAAGAGTTATTTATTCGAAATCA